TTTTTTTTTTTTTTTTTTTTTTTCCAAACGATAGAGGTATTATATATAAAATCGCACAAATGTGCAAAGGTACAACCACCAGCTGAATACAAACAACCAACAACTGAATACAGACAACCAACCACTGCAAAAACTGAGAGGACAGGTCAAAAGACCGCCCAGAATCGACCCCAACGGGGAAATACTCGGCAAAACACAAGAAACACAAAAAACACAACGACACAATACAACGACCCCAACACGGTAATGCCCGAGTGTAAGGTCCCAACAGGATAATCAAATCACACTTGGGCTAACCGAGGCCAACGGCCCAAACCTAAAACCCAAATACGAACAGACAAACACGGAACGGACAAAAAAACACTAATAAATCAACAAAACAAACTAACTACGAACAATGAACGCCCTTCCCCGGCAAACAAACGGATCGAAACCAGCAGCGAAGCAATCAATCCAGGAACGATCCTAAGCCCCAGTCACAACTTCCGAAACTGCTGCCGAACGCCTATACAGAAGCCAAACCGGGACCCCGAACCTAACCCGAATCAATTCACCTTCAACCGAGAGGACAAACAGTCAGCCCCCCAAATCAGCCCCACACGAGCGCGCCTAACACCACTAACCAGGCTCGGCTGAGCCAAACCCTTAAGTTTCCAACACCAGAAAACCAGCAGGGGGAGGAGTGACTCGGTCCCCAACTCTGACGTCCCCGACACCAAGATCGAAAAAACGAGAGTCTCGGCCTACCCTCGAAGTTCCGCACTCCGCCCCTCACCACCAAAAACTGCCGGAAATCCAAGCTCGGAGGTCCACCCAAGAAGCCCCACCAGAGGGCAATCACGACCATCCCGAACGACCAAGACCTCGGCTGTCCGAGGGCCTCTTCGGTAGCCCCACCAGAGGGCAAGTCCGACCGAAGACACAGATCCGAAGCAGATCGAGGGACTAACATTTGATAATCGAAGACCCACCAGCGGAAACGACTCCAATCGCCGACCCAACATATATTCATCGGCTGATTGAGGAGCTCCACCACGAGACCCGACGACAACCAAGGTTCGAAACCTAATCTTCCAATAGCCACAGCAGCGACCGAGGCAGAGGCGAACACAACAGGGGCGACCGAGCGGTCAAAGGCGACCACTGACCCTAGCTCGCCGTCGCCGGAAAAGGCCACGCGAATTAATTATTGACGAGGCGCTGTGAATTTGGGGATTAGGGGACTAGGTTTTTTCTCTCCTCCCAGTGCTTGACTCGATACTAGGAAAATTATTCACCACTAATCTGGTATTTTTAAGCATTTTAGAAATTGGATAATTGGTTAAATCATTGTTTCCACTAGTGAGTCATTTAAGTAGACCTTGACCGAGATGATTCAAGTCTG